AATTGTGGTGCAATGACATGCCAACATGTGCAGACTGATACCTTTCGTAAAAGTGGCGTCAAAATAATATCAATCTAGAATGCACTAATTTGCAAATCAATTTGGTTTTCACGGGAGACTTGTTTGAATCGCTCGTTTATGAAGTGCTCCAGCTGAATGTGTTGCACACAGACCACCTCATGATTCAGTTGGCACGATATTCGAAATATCGCAGTATATCTTCATAAAGGAAACTACTCACAAGGTTGCTGAAAGCTCTTCGACAGCCAACGACCGGTTTCGCCCTTCTTGGGGCTCATCAGGTAGGCGCATTCCCCGAGTCTCCGTCAACCTTATGATCTGCCTGAACCCAAATTCTGCTGGAGGACATCATAAAATTTCCTTAAAACAACTGTCCCACATTTACAGGGTTCGCGGCTAGATTATAATTTTTAATGTCTTCTGTTTTTGCTCTGGAATGTCGTTAGTACTATGCTGCACTTACACGGGTGACTGAATGACGGATATGACCCAGTTGCCTCAGTTGAGTTTGAGTCGGAGTGGTTTCATGAAATAGGAACTTGTTTCTCAGTGAAGTCAGTTAGCTTACTAAAAGAGAGCTCTTGTTTCGTGTTGCGTTTAGTGCAAACAACATGAACTCATCAATCTTGAATCGGACGAGTAGAGTCCCTATTTTAAAGACGACCAAGTTGCCCCGTCATCAAATAGCAATGAAACACTGGTGCGGCAGGGGTCTATACAATAGCACTTTTCTTGCACGTTAGCTCGCGATCATTGGGTGAGATCTTGCTGACTTCGTAATCCATAACACACTTACTAAACCAGATGCTCAGAGCTCCAATCGCGTTAATGTACTCCTTGTTATCCGGTAACATCTCAGCTGAAATCTAGTCCACTGCCCTCCAGCAATTTGGTAAGATGGAGAGGCACTGGGTGTCATCAATTAACATGACAAACAAGATGAATAAACAAGTAGAGCAGAGCTATTAATTCGATGTTTTGAATTTCAAATGTAGCCAGTCCCAATTTCGGTAACGATAACGTTAAAAAATATTCAGCCCAATTTTAACTCGCAAGCAGTTGGATGATCTATAAGCAATAGGGTATTTTTGCACCGTCTCTACCGGAGTCCATAAGACTACTATTGGGATGCAAACGGGAATTGTCTTAGGGGGAAACACGTCACAATCACAACCACATGGCCTCAAATCCCTGTTGTAAGCAATCAACAAAAGCTATTCAGAAAGGAGGAATCCAGTTACCCGCATATGTATGCTTTGATTTCTGAAAATTCTCGGATGCTTGAATGTACGAGGGCTTATTATTCAAATCCCATAAGTTTGTTATTTCTTATCTGTGTATGTCTTCCTTACCATTGTTAGAAGTACCGTTAAAACCGAGCTAAATCGTGGGCTGTGATCAGTGCATTAAGCCTTTATGTGTCGACCGAGGGATCTTGTGTCAACAAGTGGGTCAACAAGTGTTAGGCCGGTGGGGAAACCTACCCGGATTTGGGTACAGTCTAGGGTCTAGTTCATCCGGTCCAGTTCACGTGATGATCCCTCATGAAAGTTGTTTAAACTTTTCGTCCGTTTGTGTGGATGAGCTGGTGCTACAATAGTTGTGTGAGGGGAAGGGATTCTGTGAACTTTGATCGGGTCGGAATTTCCATACCCTGATCAGGTAAAATTAGCTCAGCTGACTTGCCTGTCCCAGAGAACAACGCACATCAGTGATTAATGAAAATAATTTGTCTCCAAGAAATTTTCCTTGTTTTTTTGCATCCCTTGCATTCCTGGCAAGGATATAATTCGATAGTAAGTATAATTCGACTGTTTTTATCATTTCTTATCTGACAGTATCTAATAACCTCTCAAATTCTGACTAGCCAATGTAATGACGCGACATGCTCGAATTCGCGTTTAACATCTGGGTGCTCTCTAAGCATTACGTGGTGGCCCATCAAATTCATTGGACTATCAGTGCATAGTTTATTCCTGATTCCACAACCATCGTTAATCTATGCTTTCTGTTATGACGACGGCTCTCATTCATTGGAACGGTTCAGCTTACCTCGGCCACAAGTCATATGCGACTTATTTTTCATAATCACAGGGAGATTTAATATCATGCTGCCAGAAAGAAAAACTTGGAAGCGTCAGCACAGAGTTTTGTGAATAAGAAATTTGACCGAACTCTTCTAAATTGGAACTCAAACAATACCCCGCAGCAGTTAAAATCTGGTTCCAAACTTAGTGAATCCAAGTAGAGTTTTCAGATGGTATTCGTTGAGGCAGCCATCAACGCTGACATTCCCTCTTTGTTTGTTTATCCTCTATTAATGCACACCACTTCTGCTGTGCCATTCCCCGACAGTTTGTCCTATGTACACCTTGCGCAATCGTTATAGTCAACTTTATACACAGCCTCTTCTCCTTTCAACCGCGAGAGGATCTTTCAATTGGACCAAAACTGAGCCTTACGTTTTGCCTTTCTGAAAAGCTACTCGAATGTTGGCTAAGTTCAGCAGTCTTCGAATAACCTCCGATATTCCTTCTTTATATAGAATGATTACTGTTCCAATCCCTTCCTTACTGGGTCTAGATATCCTTCTCAGTTGACGCCTAATCAAACTCACTGAGTATCCTGTTTCTTGAACTCTGTTGACAATCACAATTTCAACTGCTCTTCGATCGATCTCATCTTTGTACAGCACTCTCACTAGTCTAAGCATGAGAAAATACTGGCATATATGGTCTTTCGTTGTGCTTATGAGTAGTTTAAGACGGTTCCTGTGTCTGTTGATTTTTGGTAGATAGTAGTTCTTAATTTTTCACCTCTTATTTGTTATACGGTCCAGAATGAGTAATGTGCACCAGGTGGATTTTATCCTTATGCTAAACGTGATTCGTTAATTTATACCACTGACAAGCTGTTCATGTTATCGCGTTTGATTACGACAAAGGCGTCGTCAACATAACGCCAAAAAAAGCTCTCGGTGGATAATGCTATCCGGCCAAGGCCATTTGTTCATTTCAGAGAAGAATCAATTGGTGGAACCTTTTTGGGGCAGAAATGATAACTCCAATTCAGCCATAGGGTACGACTTGTCTTGCTTCCTATGGAACTTCTTCTTCGACTTCTTCGACTGGAACAGATTTCTAATTAACCGTCCCCGGATTATGCAATTGCTGAATACTAAGAAAATCCAAATATTCGCCCCTGAAATAGTGTACTGCTTACTTGACAGCCATCTGATTTCCATATTTGACATTCTGGATTAGTTTGGTTATTCTTCTTTGAATTAGCTTAACAGTTACTTTGGTGTAAACTGCTGACCACTCCCCCAAGCTAGTTATTCTGCCGGCAGACTGGCTTGAACCAGTAGGCCAGTGAAAAAATTAAATTCTACTTACAAATCTGGTTTTTTGATTGCTAGCTTGAACGTGAAATGTTAGGCTAAGCTACCGTACATGTTCAACTCCCAAGAATGGAGAAAATATTTCCAGTATCTCAGAAGAAAATGGGGGAAATTTTGGACCTATTTTAGGCTCTCATCAGGCAGATTCAAATTAGTACAGCAATACTATAATCGAGTGCTTCCTCTGTAATATGGAGTTTTAGTTTAGAAGAATGATTATCTTGCGGATACGAATCAATAAGGCGGGGAGAGGCAATTTTATTATTATCGCCAAAAGTAGGATCCTGAAGAGATATTACAGAACTCAAATCCTTCACGTCGATTGTCCAACTAGTATTGCATGTTATGTATGGATTTGGCCAAAATATGAAGATCTGTTGGTAACCCAAACCCTTTTCGGGTCACATTTGAAATTGGTTGCATGTAAAACGTCTCGTAGGTGACCTCAAGAAATCTTTCAGAACAAGCAGTTGACGCGGTGTCTATACCAAGCACTTTAATTTTCGCGACATTGCAAGTCAGTCTTGACCTTCCAGAGAGCACCCATTATTTTGAATCTTTAGTGTGTTTGTGTTAAATCATTTACAAAGTACTGCTTTTTCTTCAGCTGCCAACAACAAAGGTAAGCCATTTTCTCTTTTTGAAATATGGCTTTTGCTCTGAGGGCTATTAGTGATCTGAAATACCACGAAAGCTGGTTAGGTTCAGACGTAGCTGGAAACAATGGCCTTATTAAAACTATTGGCCTAAAGTGGAGATGAAACCCCCTTACTGTTCCCAAGGAAACTGCTTCCTCCTGAAAAGGTAACTGTGGTCAGCTTCAGTATCTATCATCAAACAGGAATTCATCGCTCATGTTGCAGCAAGTCTACCGACATGATCCAAAATATTTTTTGCTCTCGCGCAACACGTTACAAAGAGAACTTGTGGATTTAAGTGGCGACACGTTTTCGAACAAGGAGACTGCATCAAATGAAAATATTCTCCGCCTAATCACGTGACATCCATGATTTTGTCGCAAAATCTGAAACAATTATGTAGGTTATGAATTACTTCCTATGATGGGACTACTTCTAACAATAATAAGAGCCCTTCATCCACTTACGGCACACTACTTGATGACGAAATAAGACTGAGCTTCAGTGGAGCGCAAAATCCTTAAGTTTTACGGTTTCCATGTTTTCCGCTTGATTATTAAACATGGTCTTGAGAAGGACAGTTTTGCCAGCATTGATAACCGCTAAATATTTCCTTACAGCAAAATACTGCCAACTTGTTATTACCCCCGTCATAATCTTCTGCAGCTGAATTTCACCAGTAGGCTGGGCTCCGTCAGGTTTCTTCACTTCAGTAATGGTACTACGAAGGTATTTGTGGAAGATGAGCAGTAGTTCAACGAGCAGTGAAATGAAAAGAAATTTTCTCATAATCACGTAAAAACAACAATGTTCCGCATGTTCTTCAAAAAAGCAAAGATTATTTTAAGAGGCGAATCGGAGAAGGAACCACTAAAATTAAAATGCATTGTTCGCACAACATCACCCACCTCACGGTCCTTTGTGAGGTCAGAATGATAGAATTATATGAATATTGTGGCACGCACGTTTTTATTAAGAATGGAATGCGAAAGCTGTAGCAAACTTAGCTGCTTTGAGTGGATTTCTTCTTTTCTATCTGTACACCATGTGCCCAGGAACCTACTGTCCATGAAAATAGGAAGAAGACATACTGAACTGATTAGTGCACGAAAACACATGTTTTTCCCTCTAGCAACATTTGTCTGGTTGCTGCGTTTGTGGTGATTGACTTGTCGACTGCCATTGCAAGCAGCGCACAGATGAACAAAAGTAATGCACCGACGCCAGCACATATCGGAGCCCAACCTGAAGTAAGATGGAAACTGGAGGTGAGTTGCAAACCTGTCACCGGATATTTTAAAATAGAATTCAGAAAATTTGAAGTCTTTCGCACGTGACACTAAACACCAACTGTTGGGAGGGAATCACTTTTTACCATCCACACGTTGAGAAACAACGGAACCAATGATGAAAAAGATAAGCTCAATTAGGGAATAAACAAGTGTTGAAAAGGTTACGCTATCGGATAGTATTACCCTCCGAGCATCGCGTAGACGGTGTGTGCTTTTTAGGGGCTGCAAGTGTCTACCAAGAGGAATATCTATCCAAGTGACATTAGAGGCAAACATCAAAGTGCATTTGGATGCCAGCCTGTCATGCACATTTGATAGAACACCGACCAAATCTATTAGGATCAACTTTAGGACACGTATACGATTCACCAAACAATTATTGTTAAAAAAAAGTCAAAATTCCAGGAGGATTTCATCGACAAGGACTAGACATAAAAAGGTATGGATGAGCAAAAAGGGTTGCCAATGTCTTCAAACCACTAAACTGAATCACGTCAATACGCAATCCACCAGATGAAAACTCTTGCCTACTTCGAACTGCAAATGTTTACCAGACTGAAATTCAGCGGAAAACATTTCTGCTAATATGTATGCAGTGATAACCCTGTTCTCCAATTTTGTTTTGGAACCGAATTTTGTGAAAAGCTCTGCCAGTATTAGTGAAATATATCGTGAATCCATTGCTGTTTTGAATTACGGAAGTGATCTACATACTATGTTCAAAGGAACACAGAAGAGTTTTGGCGATTATTGTAAACATAATAGGAAAACATATACTGCGCTCTGCAAAAAACATCTCCAGAATAGAGGCTTCCCTACAATGTGGTTATTTTGTAAGTAAACTGGCAGTTAAGATTAAAATGTTTGCAGGTACTTAGAGGACGTTAGATGGTACAGAAAATATATGCATCTCACTATATTTTACTTTCACTCATACTGTCCGCCATACCACTGATTTACGTCAGATCAACGACGTCCAGCTCGTTGTCGTTAAATTTATTGCATATTCAGCCACCGACGTTTCATAAGCAAACGGAAGTGACGTCATCATCACCGTTTTTCATTGTCGACATCCAGAAGGCAGCGAAACTTAAATGGCTTTTAAAATAGGGAGAGTTATGGATCGGACCTGATGGATCCACCGTATAGTTGGCCCCATTCCATTGCTCCTTACTGCTATGTATTACTCGCTGCAATGTAGAATTGTTAGTTGAAAAGGTAAAAGCAAACTGTCGACATCCCACAGCCTTGCTTTTTCCGGTGTATTATTCAAATGTCTAAATTACTGTTACTGTCTTTTCCTTCATGGTAATTCATCGCACTTCGGTCTTGTTTTTTAAAGAAAAACTGGAACCTTGTCAGAGCCGAGTGTAATGTAATGTAATACAAACGAAATACAGTTTTAACAAAAAAGCATACAAAAAATAATCCTACTAATAAATCAGTTCTAATGGACGATTGGCCTGAAGAGTAGTAATTATCTGTCGTCATGAAAGTGTAATTTTTCACGGGTTTCGAAACGTTAGCCTCACAAAATAGAAACAATGGCAATTTGTCAGTTTTTAATAAAAACGAGTTTGTGTGGAAGGGTGAATATTTATGGCCAAAATGATTCGAGGGTAATTTTGCCTATCCAAAACAGAACTCAGGAATTTCTGCAGTCCAGAAAACTCTGTTTGAATGCCATTTATCAGTGACTGAGTAATTGAATGAATCTGGGAAAAACGTATGCAGACGCGTTGAAAGCAGGTGACTGTAAAGCTCTGTAAGGCAGTGACCGATTGCCACGACTCGTCCAACAGGCAAATGACATATGAGAGGAATTCTCGATGACGCAGCAATTACTATCGGCAGACTCTGTGTGCCACTTGCGTTATTTTGGCCCAATCTTAACCTCTGTAAGAGATCTCCGAGTACTGCTACTATATGGAACACCAAGTTTCATTGTACTAGTTTTCGTTCGGTTATTCCCACGGCGTTCATCTGCTGGGCTGCGGTGTGAAACTACTTCACGTTGCACCTTGACTTGGAACTTCCTAACCCTTATTTGCTTATTTCCCGTGTTTCTTTGTGGACGCTTCAGGCCGTATAACTTATATTTGGATTGAGCTAATTTGCCTGTAGCCAAAACCTCTGCCTCACTGATGGTGGCTGCAACCAAACTGCGAATTCTGTATATGATTTGATACTCGTATTTATAGACAGAATAGAATTTTTCAGGTTTATACGTTGTTGTACTATTCAGACGCAGGTCTTGCAGTTGGGATAAAAGATGTAGGCCAGATTTATTCACTGATTTGAATCCGAATTTCCCTTATCAGAAGAGAAACACCATCGGGACAACTAAAAACCATTATGCGGCAAATAGCACCCCTCACGTTGCATGTCGCTGAAAGGGACGTAAGGGAAATAGGCCATGTACGAAGGGGATTACTTTGCTACAAGTGACGGTGTCTCCAAACAGTGTGGCTTATCGTCCATACGCACAGCCAAGAACGCTTTCGAAACATGTTGACTCCTATCGGGCTGATAAAATCCAATTGTCAAGAATGATTCAAGATCCCGCACCTGTTGAAGAATTGATGAACGCTTGGCTCATGCAGTAAAAACATGGTCTGGTTGACAACCTTTAAATTTCAGGGTCTAGGATAGCTTACAGAAACAGACAACAGGTGTTCAACAATGGAATAGCAACAACAGCTGATTAATATGGCTGATTATGATCACTTTGATTGGAACTGCACAGGAATGTCACACACCGAGTATTGTACTTTATTTCGGTCCTTAAAAGACTATTTGGAGCTGATTTGTCTTCGTTGTTATGATACGTCAACCTGTGCGCTTAACAATCAGAATTTCGTCCCGTAAGTGGTGTTGGTTTATTCCGAAAACCAAGTGTTTCAGGTATTCCCTACTTCTTGAGAGTCGAGAGCATTGCGCTTCGCACGAACCACCGGGGCGATTCGAACTTGCTACTTGCCACCAAATGGCCGAAAAATTAAAGGCTTTATCATGGACCCCGTAGGCAGTGTGATTAACTCCCATTTACATGGAATACAGCTCCATTCATCCTTCAGTTACATTCACATGACGCGACCACCCATTGACTGGCAACTCAAGTGACGACTGTAGATGGAAAGTTCACCATTCATGTCATCTATCATTCTTCCAAAGCTACTTATAATTTGTTAATAGTATGAAGAATTTCAGGAATTTGAAATATTGTTCTGTGAAAGTGATCAATATTTGGTTCCATATGCCGCGAACTAAATTGTTAGCTTTGAGCTAAATTATTGTGATTATGAATCTAGCAGGGATGAAGAAAATTAGACTTTTTACTTCCTGGATTTGTGGTACGACCGGTATCCATAATTCTTGCACACATTTAACAGTCAAATTAACCGACTTGGGCCTTGTACCTTCTCTTATTCCACAGCCCGTAGCGTTTGAATAGCCGTCCACTGCCCAGGAAGAAACCGGAGGTATTCAGTTCAGTCCTTCTGACCCAGCTACAGTATCTTCAGAGGAAAATCTGCGATCGAAATGGTGCTGTGTTTCTAGGAATACTGTGTACTTCGTTAACGCTTTCATAGATTGTATGTGATTTTTGATGGTTACAGAATTTCATTGATTAAAACGACGTGTGAAACTGCGGGGGAAAGCAATTCAGCTGTTTTTACCCGAAGAAAAGTTCCGGGTATGGTATTCAGCAACTCAAAATACAAGCTGTTGAGGGTCAACTGCGACATCGTAGTTTCCACATTCAAAATTACTGAGTCAATCGGACAATGAAAAGCAACCTGAAACCTGATTTTAAACTAACTGATCACAAACGATCCAGATGGGTATGTAACCAACTCAGTCACGGTAACGAAGAGGGCATATCATGTTTGTGACCATGCTCTTCAAAAATATATGAAGAGCTAACTTCTTTTAGTACTGGAAATTTTAGTCTCCGAAATTAAGCAGGGTAGCAAAGGAACATTGTGTAAAATCTCTTTGAGTTGATACAGATAAGTATATTGCTCCTCTTGGCCGTCAACACTGTGCTAAGGTATCAGCTCTCGGTAACAAGATAAATGTACATCTCCTCATTGTACAAAACTTATTTAGACTTTTTTGAAACCCAAGTAGTATACTTGTCATAAGTTGTTCAGGTTTGAGATGTGGTTGCTTCACTTTTATGAAGGGGAAGGTGTTAAAACTTCTGCTGTGCATACGTCCTCAACTAGTGCGCGGCCACAAAATTCACCAATACGTATTATACTGACGAAGAATACGGCCCAGAAGTTTACTGAAAAACCCTCGTCAAACCAAGAAACTCATGGACTGCGAATACCTGATGGGCTCAAAAAGAGACCAGACACGTTTTGGGCTGTCCTTTGTGTCTTTTGTGGAGGGCAATATTCAGACGTCTTTCGGCATCTCAGTAGGAACCGACAACCTCTGTAGACATTCAGTTTTAGCACCATCACCTAGTGTATAACATACCAGTTTTTTCCGCAACAATATCATATTAGGACATAAATCTTATTCTGAGCCGGATTTTACATGATCTATGCTGTTATTTAGATCAAAAGCATTTACATCGTCTCAAAGCTGGTACAATGTTCTCATCAGGCTGCGGTCAGATATTACATTTTATCTGTCTGTGGTACACATTGAGCTTTTTTTAGGCAAAAAGTCTTGTTGTATGCTGTTCACCTGAGCCCCTATCAGGCATGAAGTGCGTAATGTTTGTGGTGTCCAACAGCCTCTGATCCAAGGGGCTGGTTCTCAGTGCGGTTCCAGATTAATAACAATCCAGAGAAAAGAAAAATCGCTTTTGAATACCATTGATCAACTAAGGAGATGCAAGAGATTTGCTAAAGCCAGGGGATATATCCACAATAGTTAAGCAAAAACCAACTTACCGATAGTACAGTTTCCTCTTGAGTAGGGACCGACTGATCCGCCGCAAACTTCCCTAACTGTAACTGATTCCCATCCGATTGGCCACAGAAGTAGACCGAAGATCAGTAAAAGATCTAGAAAAAGTAATCAGCAAGGTTTACTGGCCCACTACCAAAAGACGAATGGAAGTGACTGCATGAAAGCAGTATGTTTATGAATGCCTTTGTGCCGCACTAATAGATGAACATCGTCGGAGATATAAACTGTTGTATTGCTTAGCTAAAGAGAATGTTTTATAAGATGGTGCTCTCATAATTATGCAGTTCTCCAAATAATGAGGACGCAATTTAGTCACAACAAGAACATTCCTCCTGTCAGTGAAATGCATCCGCCTCTCCTGTCTTTTAGCTCAAATTCCTTCTGTTTTTGGTAAAATCTTCAATGATCTCAAATGACCCAACGGCCCAATACTTTTCGATGTCATGGTCACAGGAAAACCCTAACTCAGCAACTGTCAACTGTGTGTTTGACCACATTGCTTGATTTGGTCACCATGTATTCGTACAACCGAAGAAAGCACTGAAATCCATGATGTTGAAAGTTAAAAGGGAGGTTACACAAGCTCTGGAAGTGGAAATGGCAATGAGAAAAGTATTGACTTATAGCCTAAAGCAAACAGAGCTTTATATTGTGACAAATATTTACGATCTACCCGTGATAGCCCGTGGACAGTACTTATCTGGTGTAACTGCTGCGGTACCAAAAACTTAAGCAGTTCATTTTCATTTAGTTTTTGAGGAGCATGGTCACAAACATAAAAAGGGAATGCAAACGACAAATGCGAAGGGATAACAGGAGGACATGAGATAAAAGAGAAGAACGTCTCATTCGATATCATGTCAACAGTTCCAGTCAGATAAGATGAATCCCAAAATATGTAAAACTTTTTGGCATGAAAATACGCGTCTAAAGGCCAACAACCGAAGAAAGGACAAACAATGTTGAATGCTCTTCAAGGCGCGGTAATCGCTAGCACAATCAAGACTCTCACGTCAGGCACAGAGTGTCCGTCATACTGGGTCTGGTGTAAGATTAAATGGTAAAAATGTACACTCAGTGTCATGTGCCACGCATAAAAGTGTCATAAGTACTCAGAGAGCCCACAATGGAAAGCAAACACAAGTCATTGACTGTGACCTTAGGAACTTCCAGTCCAATAACAGCCTTGGCGGACTGAGGAAAGTAGACCTCTTGATAAGAGATGATCATCGGTTGGTGGACCAAAAAGTCACATCACAACCGATTGCAAGTAGGACTGAGATTATGGCGAGGGTAAATTCATCAGCATCATAATTCTACTTCTTCTCAATCCACATGATCACTCCGTGCCCATCCGAGACTATGCTTGCACATATTCTAATGCTCTGTCAAATTCAATCAGCTTTGGCAAATACAGAACCCAAGGTGGCAGACACCACAAGTGAAAATCAACCATACGCCGACCATTTAACTTAAAAGTAACCCCCTTCTGTTCTGCCGCCCTAATACATTCAACTCCATAGGAAAGTATGACGGATAGAGCAGACGTCAACATTTCGGGTATGACCAAAACTTCGGGGACAAACTACGGGATACAAAGTTCTTTGAAGATTAACAAAACTTTTTTTAATGATAGGTGGATGTTCTAGCTCATTATGAGCTATGTGAGAAACTTTGCTAAACTCTTCAGAGATTGCAGACCAATCTTGGGACCAAAGTTTGTGGACACATAAAATACGACACTGGCTAATATGAGATTCATTTCAATTAGATTACTTTGTGAGTTTCAAGCTTACAATGAGTCAGTTCTGATTAAATTTAACCGCAATGAAAGCAAACACAAATTGTTTGTATGCAGTTGCGAGTTTCCTGAGGTCATTCATAAACCTACTTAATCCTTATTTTATCCTGACAAAAAAGGCGATATAAACCAACCTACTCTAAGTCGTGAGCTTTTGAATACAACCAAGTTGAAAACTTTTTGCAATTGCATAAGATATATTTAGGCAGAAAAGGATTTATGATCCAGGATCCTATTGATTCCTTCGCTCTTACTCCCAGTTACTAGGCCGATTGTTCGCTAATAAAATGTGAGGTAGAAATGATTAAACCGGACGCTAGTATGCAAGGATTTTAAAGTCTTATTTGTTATTCCATCCTGTAAATGAGATTAACATATACAGAGACGCCGAGAAACATGAGGCCCTGATAATTTCAGATATCTCTCAAGACATCAGCACCTGCGACTAGCTGATCGACAGTGGAATCATCTAGTCCTTAATAAATATTTTACAAACCTCCCATTCTGCCAGGAAACACAAACCAGTCTGCTCAGAGGTGAAACATCTTAAAAGTTGATAGAACTCGTGAACTTTTTATCTGAGTTAGTCGAAACTGCTTGACTTGAATCCAGTAATTGAAAGCTGGGCGGGTTATATCTTACTTAAGTTTGGGCTTCACCTTCACAGCACCAGGATAATCACAGACAAAGCTTATGCAAAAACCCGCTCACCACTTGGTCATTTATGAATGGCACTATATCCAACCGAAGTGCAAGTGAGTCACACCGCTGATCAGCCGGTCGTGGCCTAATGATCATGTTCAGCTACTAGACTGGACGTCACCCGTTCAAGTCCCTCCGGAAATTCGTAAAATGCGCATCGCTGTTGACACCTACTAAGCTTGAAACAGTTGTACAATAATTGTCTTTCTGTCTGATTTCAGGAAGGCATCTTGATTGCAATCTCCAAACTTCATCATTTCACAGTAAGGGATAGTGGATGCTGGCGGAGTAGCGGCGACATTCGTGTCTTGGATGGTATGTGATCAGGGAACAAACGCCAGTACAGTCACAATATGCATGAATGATGAGCCCTTGCAAGAGCGAAAGTAGAAATTAATGGACTAATCACAATTACTGCATTACTAGGCTGGGTAGTCTGTTCAGAATAAGACAATGAAGCACCAGTGTTGAAGACTGATGTCATGCTGTCGATGATAATGAAGATGATGAAACCAACTTCAATTGATCTGACCCGCAAGGTAGTTTCTTCGTTGAGGTAGCTAACTGAGCCAAGGTTGGAAAGTACGGTAAAGGCTGGAGCACTAAGCTTCCACGGAAGTTGCGTTTGACCACTGACTAGATAAGTAGATTTTAGACGTGAGACATATATCAGATAAAAAACAGTTTCACTTGCCAATTTCTTAGTTGAATATGGGCCCAGACACTGGCAGGTGGGCGGATTCTAGACATGAGGACTTTAGCTGAAAGCGTACCTGGGATGCAGCGGACAATGCCATACTACTACAGTCCAAAATTTGTGAAACGATCTGCGACTCTTGTTACACTCTCCAATCCTATGGAACATGGCAATGCTTGTCAAATTTCTATCCACTGACCATATCGACAGAAGGGATTCGGTGAATGCTGCATAGGCATCCTTCAGTGCCTTTCAAAGGGTTACATTTAAGTACGCAAACTGTCACAGCGCACTAAGAATCTTCTGTTGATGGTGGGATTACCTTAAGGAAATCTCTCTGCTACGTGCGGGTTACAATGGGTGTAAAATGACCTATTTTCGGTGGAATAAAATTATACAAATTAATCGAATGCCTCCGAGTATCCATATACTGACTAATTCAATCAAGTTGTCCACTTTTAGCTTTTGGCCCTCAACTGATCCAAAGTAGTCGTTTACTTATTTCGGCAACAAAACCACAGTTCCGCACTCTGATGACTCATTTCAATGAGATGAATAATGTGCTTAGGAGGATAAGACGTCGGATCTGCTCACACAAGCCTTGCCCTGACAGATAGTCACTCAGTAAGCCAATCCGACCGAGTTCACTGTAGTTTCTTCTACTGAGCCATAAATAGGATGAGAACGAAAAAATGTAACAATCATCAAAACCGGGCATTTTACCCACCTTCTGACGACCTATTCACCCAAAATATACAGTTTCGGCGTTATCGGTTCTTGATGGTTTTGAAAAAAATTTGATATCATTCAGCTTTCAGTTTAGAACAGAAAACCATAAATTGTAATGCAACCAAGAATAAGCCATCTGTTTGTAAAGTTGCCAAAATTATTCTAGGGAACTACACACAGTGACCAACGCAGTTTTGTCTCATGGAAACAAGGATAAGTATGCAACATTGTGGATAAGTGGCGCCACTTGGCCTCAAACTTACGGAGAATTCTTGCCTTTTATCGACCTGGAAAGAATTCGACCTTTTTTGTTCCAGTACTTGGTACCATTGGTCGTTCGTTAACAGCGAAAATGAGTGTTTAGAAGAATGACGAATTGGTCGGGGATTTCCATCACAGGAGAAAGGGGTTAAGGTAAAAAGTGCTTACGCTATAAGTGAAGGCAGCTTCGTTAACTATTTTGGCAAGATAGATACATCAGTACGTCATTTGTGGAAACCTTCTGGATAATTCAAACGGAGTTAGTCATGTTATTTTTTCCCTCGACCCAAATGGATAAACGTAAAACCAGCTTGCATAGCTAGTTAGCGACACTGTAGTTTGTGGCTACGAGGAACAAATGAAAACATCTATACTGGTGCTCTTCGGAGTACGGTCTAGTTAACATTAAGACTTTAAACAGAATAGCAACAAAACACAGAATCCAAAACCACTTTTTGAATCTCGTGAATTTATGCACAACTTCTTGTCATTCTTCAATACTCTGTAGGAAATGTCGAGTTATACATGACCACCAAAAATTTGCATCAAGTTGGACAAACCGACAACTTCTGTTTTGTTGTTGTGGAAACAGATACTTCCGAACAGTGAGACATCCTGTCTTTTTGACTTCTTCGAGCTCCCGGACTAGGGTCCGAGAATGACAATCGCAATGACATATTACAGGTCCAACGAGCTACAACCAGCCATAAACGTACAACCACTTGCAATACCCTGACTTCTCTGGCTATCGGCCGGCGAGAGAACTTAATTCCAGATATCTAATAAATCCCATCCACTGGTTTTTAGTGGTTGGCGGGAAATGGAATATCCTCCACAAGAATATTTTTGGTCTTGCTGAAGAAATCCTTCCAGTCTTGCACTGTGTTACATACTAGTGAAGTTCT